AAAGCCAAAGGTCCCGGGTTCGATTCCCGGCGGGGGTGTGAAAACAGCAACAATTTTTCCCGTGTAGTGGGTAAAAAATTCAAAAATGAATTTTCAGATTAATATTTCATGATAATTATTTGTTAAAAAATTATCAGTTTTGATTAAGCCCATTAATTAAATACAGACAATCACTAATTGTAATGAAAACAAGTACAGTGATTGAATAAATTCTTTTAACATTTCTTTTCTTTTTATTAAACGAGTCCATTGAAAAGATGTGAAAGGTCAATGATAAAATTCCTTCATTTCCGCCAATAATAGTGTAGCAGTTTGCACAGATTCTGCGATGAATAAATACGACTTGCATCTATACAAAATGAAGTGAACACGTTTGCATCTGAAGTTACACAATGCAAGGTACGAATTTCAAAATATTCAACGTTATTTCTTACCTTCTCATCATGTCTGCACCATTTGCTTTAATCGCTGGAGACGGGAAGCAGCATCGTTTCATCACAGAAATAACCAGCAAAAGCGTTCCCAATGTATCTGCAAGTAAGTACAAAAATCAGTGGTTTCGCAAGTAATATTTCTTTTAATAAAAAATCGACTGTAATATCACGTACAAGGTGGATCAATTACAAAACAAGTCGATTGTTTTTTAAATGAAATCGGTTTTGTTATAATATATCTAACGACACTATAATTTCTTGTCCACGCATATTGTAGGTGCAAAAGCCCTGCCTCACAAACTCCTAGTTGGACGTTGCGAGCCGAAAAATACCTTCTTGCTGCATGCTGAGACCATTGTTTTAAACAACGACAACAACAGTAACGTAATGAGTACAATAAAGGTAAATTTTATTAACAGCGTTAGAAACATATTTTATTTTATTAAACGTTTCCGCATACTCATTGACGCATTATAATTACAGACATTAATTGACGGTCCTGTGGAAATTAAATGCTTAACAGTAGTGGATAATCCACAGGAAGGAAAGAATGGTGGTTATCTTTTTTATGTAAATGGAGGTCCTGGACACAATCATGTCACATTCGGCATATGGACTAGCGACGGTTTTAACATATCTGTTAATATATTCGGTCAGGAATTAACAGAAAAACAAAATGAAAAAGGACGCATTGAAAATTAACTTAACGATCGACATCAACCATCAGTTTCAAAGATGTTTTAATCCTTACGTAAACTTTACTATTTTAAGTGGTAATAAAATATATAACAATTGTATAGCAAATCATTCGTTATTATTTTGGTTTTCTACTGTAATTATATTCAAATTTATGAACTACTATTATTTATTTCAATTGAAAAATGATTTTTTTCACATACTTAATACTTAAACGCAAATACGTACCGTAGAGAAATGTTAATTAGATACGTATATGACTCGAACACAGTTTCCTTTAGGAGACTTATTGTATTAGTTTATCTAAGCTTTGTGCAGTTCCAGTAGAAACTACGTAAATCTAGTTTAGCTTTTGTTGTTCTGATTGTAAGCATGTTCACAGTGTACGTGCTAGGGTACTTTGAAGTCAATTTTAGTATATACACCAGCATACAATGTACAACAAGAGAATGTGTTATGGCTTAATATAGTTAAAAGCAATATGCATAATTGCATTTAAATTTAACACTATTCTTTGTTTCGAACACATACTAAATAATGCTAATAATACCTATACAGTATACAGTAACCATCCGCCTATAATCACGATTTACTGTACAATTCACTTCAATTTTACATTTTCTTTTATTTTTTTCAACACCTTCATTAGTAACTTGTTTGTGGGATATTAAATTAAAAGACATCAGGTTACGGTCAAACTACAAACGGTGTAGAGTTACTGCAAAATAATTATTGATAAGTGTGGTCGACGTAACTTAAAAGTATGTAATTAGTTTTAAGGGAATGAATGTGGTATCGCCTTTGGGGAATTTCTTGAGAGTGATCTTTCTAGGGAGTAATTGAGATACCTCTCTGCCATTAAAAGTAACATAGCAATTACAGTACATAGTAGCGAAATATGAGAGACATTTCCTTTTCTGTTAAACAATAATTGAAGGTAATTTCTTCAGATAACCATCGCAAGGAACAGTTAAATTTATTTCCCATTGAACTGGTTCGTTTAAACCTTGTGCAATCAAGGAAGTTCAACGTAGCAGCAAGTTGGGAAACGGTGGCATGATGAAAATGCATTAAAGTTCATCCAATAATCAGACTGCCAGATCTAAATCTAGATCTCAAACTATCATGGCTCAATACAGGACATTATTTCTGACTGATCATTTTGATTTACCGCCAGATTAATGAAAATAACGTAAAATAAATATGTACTGTAAATAGATTCAAATAGTGGCAGGCATGTAATAATTGATTACAACATTGATAAAACTTCAATCTTCCCCAATGAGAATAATAAATTGCAGTACAGTTATTGCTGCATGTCAGGAAAATTACAGTACGTAAAGGCGCTTTCACACAGAGCGAGCAGTAGTACAACCGAACACGAATTAATTACTACGAAACTGGAACATTTATATGTATCTATATGAAAACACTTTCGATACTTTTCTTGCTATGAAAATGTCTTTGTTCATTAATGTCAGAGTATTATTTATGCCGCTGTTTTAACGTTTTATTCATTGACTGCTTTTTGCATGAAATTCATTACTTATCATTACTTTAAACGGTGTTTTTGGAATAAAGTGCCGGATAGCCGCATATTTATTATATAAGAAGTGCGTTAAGTAAATTAAAAAGTGAAATTTATGTCAAGGTAGAGATTTTCCCAAGTAAAAAATTCCATGCTCCCAAAGAAGATGAAAAAGTACTTTGTGGTGTCTAATTCCACCTAAAAGTATTTTTATGGTCCCCGATTACTTAAAAAAATAAAGTCTGTGGTACAATACTATCTGAAAAATTACAGCCATTTACTCCTAGCGTGCTATTTGGACAACGATGAGACAAGAATAACAATAACTTTCTTCCACTGTCATATTCTCATTACATTGAAAAGGCTTTGAAGAAATATACGTTACGGTTTTTATATGGATAAAAATTACTTTAGGGAAATTCCCCAAACAAAAAGTTTCTAATCATTAAACTAATGCCCATCTTTTAGAAAATGAGTTAGCAATAATATTAAATACATAAAACATCTCATTTTAGGACGAGGATACCGTGGAAAGGGGGTGAGGTAATAGAAAGAATAGGAGAAAGAGATCACATCAATAAGAAATAGGCGAGATATGTTGGCATTTAGAGACTTATTAGAAGCAGAAGCAGGAGTTAAGAGGAGTAGAGGTAGACCATGATTAGATTACTCTTCACAAATCGTTAAAGAAGTGGGATATTCATAGTCGTAGGGGATTGCAAATATTAGCTTAGGATTGACGACCTTATGATGATGCCATTTTAGGGGTACTTCAACTACTATAAAATATTGTAGTTATAATAAGATATGCGAGTTTGTTACAATATTGGAAGCATTAATTAACCCTTGTTTACGAGTAATACAGTTAACTAATCATCCAAGAGCTACTAGTTTAATTAACGTTAATTAGGAATATTTATGATAGTAGTTTAAAAACACACTGGATAATAGGGAAGGGGGGTTTACCGCTTGGCTTACAGCAGGTAATTATTCACAAAAAAGTTGTACCGTGGTTTTAAAATTTGAATAGTTTTTTTATACTCTTCTATACATTAAACCTATTCGAGTAGGTATTAGTTTACTAGATCGGCTGTAATCAGATTAAGTCTTCGACTAACATCAATCAATTTATTATTAAGTGAAATTTTCATTTCAGTTGTGGCAGAAATAACGAGTACGCTATTGCATAATAAATGTAGATATGTATGTGACAATATATTTTTTGTAAAAGTTGCGTACCTACTCTAGATACTTATTAGATTTGTAACGCTTTTTACCCAACAGCTAAGGGAGGGTTGTTTTTCACGCGTATCTGGAAATGTATGTACTGAAACACGAAAGCTTAAAACATTGGGATGGACATGTGATGCCCCTGTATCCTTTATCTCAACCCGTCGCCATTTTCGTACTAAGCGTTTCCGGCATATTTTATAATCGATCCTATCAATAACGATTATTATTTTTTGTTTCTCTACGAATAAAAACTAAACGAGGTCAAGAATCTTAAGCTTTGCTCACATACGGTAATATAAACAGTTGGTATATTCTGATAATCCAAGTAGATAATGCTTGAATTTTGATAATTCCCTTTGAAATTGTCAGGATAATGCGGTATTAAAATATTTAATCAATCACGAATTTCTATTACTTACGAAAGCAAAAGGCAAGATTGGTGATTTTTATTTAATGAGATATTTGAACTTCACCTATTTCCTTTTGACTTGTTACCACCAATTCGAATTACCATTATGTTATAAATTGAACAGGCCGTGGTACCTTCCATCAAATTGATTGCTACATCCTGCTGCAAGGAAAAGTGGATCATGAATCTCATTTAGATGCATTCCCAACAAGACAAGCGCGCTTTTTATTTCGGAACTATTTTAATTTTTAATTAATGACAAACTTGTTTAGCTACGTGAATTTTGATTACTTATGCCTTGTTATGATTTGTCACCACTCATAGAGATTGCTTCAAAAAGAGGTCGATCACGAATTACCACTAGCCGAATTCTTAATAATACTTCTACTTGAAATAAAATGACCGTAGGGTGTGGGTTGTTCTGGTTTTTTTATCTCAGGACAGGAAAGAGTGGAGGTGCGTGTCCAACCAGTTTTAGGACTGACGACCTTGTGATGATGATGTATTCTCTATTAAGTGCTACACAGTAAAGAATTGTTAACCATAATAGAAAAGGGTTTTGCGTTTCCTTAAATCCTAACTATTCTGAATTAACATTTGCTTATTGTTCTGTAGTTGTAGTGCATTGGGTAAAAAATGAATTTTATTGTGGGCGAATGGTTGTTAAAGTGGTAAACATTAATGTCAGAAGTGAATCGTTGAGTGCGTTATGTACTTTCGGTGTGAACGCTCCCTTAGGGATGGATCGGTATCGAACAGCTGCTCAGGAATGACAAACGATATAAGACGGATGGCAGGCTTCGCTCCCTGTGACCCGGATGAATGTTTGATAGTCGCGGCGCTGTATGTGGATTGCTCCTACGAGGCGGGAACGTCTTATGCGGTGGCTGCATGCATAATACAGGAGCCCGGGACACCGATGCTCGCTACTATACACCTCCGCCCGCTAACGTTTCCTATCTGCCCTGCCTATTCCTGTTGTTCCTACTGCTATTTGTGATGGCGATGATGGCGTAAAACGTTGTCCTCTAGTATCTGTTGTTGTCGCAATGCTTCAACTTCATCTATTTGCCGAAGAATAAACTTGACCTCCTACTTTGTTTTTCATATTTTTACTAATATCTACTTTTCATAATATTCCACCCCGAAAATGCTGACAAATCTAATTTACCCCAACGGAAAAACATACAATGTACATTCACCATCAAATTAGTGATGGATATTTTTAGAAGGTACAGTTTAAGCAATTAATAAAATTGTGCGAAATCCATCAATTTTTAAGAAAAGTTGGTGTCAAAAAACTATATATGAACTGGAAACAAAATAAACGAATTTTAAGTTTGAAGAAGAGTTCTAGAAATAGAATTTACAAAACGATATTTTTAGATATTCGCTGTATTTTATTTCTTCTTCATAAATCTGCCTTAGCATCGATGCGGGTAAAAGTTATATGGTGTTTAAACAATCCTTAACAAACAAAGTTTCTGTTTGTACTACCATTGGGTATATTTTTGGATATACGTGAGGATACTGCGATGCGATGTCGTTTTCGTATTGTTTTATATCGATAGTGGGTGTTATACGTAGGTATTAATGTTGCAATAAAGGTAGTCTTGGAAACCGACGGAAATCGTGCGGAAATCAAGCCTGTGGAGGACATTCAACGGCATGTGATGTCTGCCTTTGTTCCACTTACGTTCCATACGCCATATGACCATATTGTCGCATTATTTACCTTTCAAATGCCGAATAGTCGATCGCTTTTATTGTTTATTACTGAGAAATAATGAACAAAGGACATTCTCTTAGTTACACGCCAGGGTTGATATAATGATTTTATTCAACTTCCAGTACAATTAACGTGACAATTTTTATATTTACTTCAAACTGGACTTGTCAGTGATGGTTATGCTGCACAAAAAAAAACTAATTTAATATGGTGAGAACATAAACAATTTCTTGATCATCATTATAAGGTCCTAAGAGTGGTTGGAC